AGTGTTCTATCAATTTCCTGGGATAACATTCCTCCTAACCACTTAAGGATGTGAAAAATAGATAGTAGCCGATTCTCAGACTCACGGAATATGCATATAAAATTTCATAAAAATCGGTCAGGTCGTTTCGAAGGAGTATGGTTACTAACATTGTGACACGAGAATTTTATTTATAAGATAATAGTTTTAGCTTTTCTGTTTCTAAGAACTTGTCCTGTTAAAAGTTTGTGGTTTACGTTTAATTAAATTCGAGAAATTCAAAGCGGATTGTCGAAGCTTCGAGTATCAAAAGCCTTTCGTTTAAGCGGTGCTTTGTGAAACTACTTGAAAACTGCCTTTGAAAGACTGCAAACTTAATCAATTTGATTTTAAAAACTTAAGTCTTCAAAATAGAGATAATTAGATACGAACTTGTTTATAGAAACAACACGTCCTTTTATAATCCAATCACAAATATGTGTCGTCAATACGATAACCTGCATAAGTATCATTCTTCGTTGGACATTTTTTTGTAGTCGGCTTCTTGAATTTCGGAAAGAAATCCAACGATTACTATGTACTTCGTTAAAAAAATCGGTTAATTTTTACTTTTATTTAAGTGTCTTTTTTTGTTGTTTAATTGCTGAAATTCTATTTATACATTTTTCTTTAGTGTAAACTTCAGTCCATAAAATTTAATCATGTTATGCCCACATTTTTAGAGTTACAGTTTGGTTTTCTATTATTGTAATTGCTTTGTTTTTTTTTTATAATTGTAACTTGTTTTGTGAGCTAATAATAAATAAATAAATAACGCTGGACCAGAAGTTAAACGGGTGCTTTACTGTTCCTGTAAATAGTGATAAATAACGGTACTGATGATACACCGAAGTACCGGTGGCGGTCAGTGGGTAACCGCACTGTATATTTTAAACGTTATCAACGGCAGCTACGCTAAGGCGGTACGAAGTTCGCCGGGTCAGCTAGTATTTTATAGAAATGAAGCAATTAAATGTTTGAGTTGACAAATATATAAACAGAAGTTAATTATTTATGCTTGTCAGTCACAAATCCTTCAATGTGATATAAAATTTAGAGGCCTACGGAATAGAGGAAATAGTGAAAATGAATTGCGTCGAACGCTCGATTTCTACTAAATTTCATTCGACATAATAATAATTCCGTATTTTTGAATCGCTCGAGTGCAACGAATGGGTGAGACCACTCGCTGCATGGCGAATGGTGGAGGCGAATGATAGAATAATTGTCATTTTTTTGTGCTATTAGACGACGATAATCTATCATTGTCATGCTTTATATGAAACGACAAAGATTAGTAGTAATTACCGGTTCTTATTATTTCTGCGTGAAATGAGTAAAAGTTCGTATTTCGTATCAAACAGGTAACACTGGTGACGAGTGATTCAAAAATACGGAAAATCAGTATTATGCGACTTGAAAAAATTCAAAATTCAATATCGTTTATTCAGTCTAGGCTGTCTACAAGCACTTGTGAATGTCGAAAAGCTACGCCATCGGTTCGCAAATCTACGGCGGGAGACCTTGTACTGAGAAGAACCGGCAAGAAACTCAGCAAGGGCTGTTTTTTTCTCCCCGTATTGTATACAGAGTCGTCAAATTAATAAATGACTTCAATATGAGTTACCTCATTTTTCAATTTGACGACTTGAAAGTCGAAGGTGACTTATGTCGCATTCGACGATACTATGTCAGACGAGTGATTCAAAAATAGAGCTCCTTATGTTGGTTTTATGATAATTTATCTTTTGTTATTGTGTGAAGCGCGTCAGTCGAGCAGTGCAGGCGCATGCGTTCTTTGTTGTGAATCGCGACAGTTCTCACGGAAGTAGACCCGTCCCATCACTGCTCATCGATTGCTTATCGGTTGTACGCAGTAACCAATATGTCCTTTGTAGATTTGCTATAAGGTATTAAGAATAATAACAATAAACAACGGAATTTTACTAATTACTGCTATTACTAGCTGACCCAGCAAACTTCGTACCGCCATAAAAATAGGGGCAGGTGGTAGAAGAGAAAATTTAAGGTTGTATGTATTTTTAAACCACATTATAAAAAAAATTGTTCAAAAATTTTTTATTTTTATGTGTGTAACGTAGTGTTCTATCAATTTCCTGGGATGACATTCCTCCTAACCACTTAAGGATGTGAAAAATAGATAGTAGCCGATTCTCAGACTCACGGAATATGCATATAAAATTTCATAAAAATCGGTCAGGTCGTTTCGGTGGAGTATGGTTACTAACATTGTGACACGAGAATTTTATTTATAAGATAATAGTTTTAGCTTTTCTGTTTCTAAGAACTTGTCCTGTTAAAAGTTTGTGGTTTACGTTTAATTATGTAAATTCGAGAAATTTAAAGCGGGTTGTCGAAGCTTCGAGTATCAAAAGCCTTTCGTTTAAGCGGTGCTTTGTGAAACTACTTGAAAACTGCCTTTGAAAGACTGACAAACTTAATCAATTTGATTTTAAAAACTTAAGTCTTCAAAATGGAGATAATTAGATACGAACTTGTTTATAGAAACAACACGTCCTTTTATAATCCAATCACAAATATGTGTCGTCAATACGATAACCTGCATAAGTATCATTCTTCGTTGGACATTTTTTTGTAGTCGGCTTCTTGAATTTCGGAAAGAAATCCAACGATTACTATGTACTTCGTTAAAAAAATCGGTTAATTTTTACTTTTATTTAAGTGTCTTTTTTTGTTGTTTAATTGCTGAAATTCTATTTATACATTTTTCTTTAGTGTAAACTTCAGTCCATAAAATTTAATCATGTTATGCCCACATTTTTAGAGTTACAGTTTGGTTTTCTATTATTGTAATTGCTTTGTTTTTTTTTTATAATTGTAACTTGTTTTGTGAGCTAATAATAAATAAATAAATAACGCTGGACCAGAAGTTAAACGGGTGCTTTACTGTTCCTGTAAATAGTGATAAATAACGGTACTGATGATACACCGAAGTACCGGTGGCGGTCAGTGGGTAACCGCACTGTATATTTTAAACGTTATCAACGGCAGCAGCTGTGATTTAAATTTGAATAACATATAAATGATAATGAGGAGCTCGATGGCGCAGGTGGTTAGCGCGTTCGGCTGCGATCGTTGAAGTTAAGCAACTTTCGCAGTGGTCGGTCATTGGATGGGTGACCAAAAATCTTCTATCTCGAGTTCCGCCGTGCTTCGAAAGGCACGTTCAGCCGTTGGTCCCGGCTGCATCTGCAGTCGTTAGCACCCGCCAATCTGCACTGGGCCCGCGTGGTGGGTCATGGCCCAATCTCCCTATTCCATCCATAAGGAAGCCCTGTGCCCCAGCAGTGGGGACATCAATAGGCTGATAATGTTGATAATAAGTAATAATTTTATTGTCATTAACGATGAATTGTTTTCACGTATGCAGCCGTATTTAATACAAATGCTTACAGCCGGGCTACTTGCAGCCGCTGCAAGTCTGCCTTGGAGATCAGAATAGCACCTTAACCCAACAAGCGGACTCTGAGCCCTGGTGTACCAGCTAATCGTATTAGCCGAAAACAAAACCAACAATTTCCGAGTTTTATGGTAACACTAGCTGTGCCCCCCGGTGTTACCCGCGGTTTGTTAAGGTTATTTTCACGCAGTAAAAAGTAGCCTATGTGTTAATCCAGGGTGTCAGCTAACTCCATACCAAATTTTATTAAAATCGCTCCAGCCATTTAGACGTGAAGAAGTAACAAACATACACACTCACATACTCACAAACTTTCGCCTTTATAATATTAGTGTGATATACAAGGCGAAAGATGCTCGATTTCAGCAATCTCGATTTCAGCATGCGACAAATCAAATCAAATAATTTATTGCACTCATGTGGTTGCAATATGCATAAAATACCTTACATGAACCCTGTCAGGGTATCACAATGCACGGTGTCTTGTAAATAAAAAAATCATAATCAAATAAAAATTACAGTTACTAAATTACAAAAAATCTATTAACATTTTACAAAATAACTTTATCTCATGCATAAATTTCATCTGATTTAATTCTCAATTTTATGTAGGTAATTTGCAATAGCAGTTTAATTTAGTAAATTACTTTTATTATGAAAATTATCTAAATTCATATATAATAAAATAAATATGCCAAGAAGTAAATTCGTATGTCCTATAGATAATTACTACTTGCACATAGCTTGGAATGCTTGGACGACCGCCGTGGCCGAGTGGTGTGTACGCGGGGTTTCATGGCGAATCCCGGTGGGGGCAGATGTTTGTGTGATAAATACGAGCATTTGTATTCTAGTCATAGATGTTTAAATATGTGTTTCTGTATAAATATGTTTATATATTTACAGTATATGTATTCAATCCGTTACCTTAGCATTCCATAACACAAGCCTTACAGTGCTTACTTTGGGGCTAGGCTAATTGTTGTGAGTGTTGGAAATATTAAGCTATTGCATAGATTTTATCGCGGGCTTTGAGTGCGGCGACCGAATCAAGAACTTCCGTAACGAAAATAACCTGACAACAGTGCATATGAACACGCATTCGACGCATTACCGCGGTCATCGTTTCAAATCCCGCACTCGTATTTTTTATTATTGTTTTTTTCCTTTTTGTTATATATTTGTTTTAGACCCCAGCACCTGTTCTTATTTTTATTTGTCTCCCTTTTATTTAGACTTTATAATTATAATTAAAATTAATGGACTCAAGCTGGTAAACTGTGGAGCTTGTGGAAGTTGTTTAGCGGAGGGCAATGCTGTTGTTTGCTGTGCTTGCCCAATAAAATACCATAAGGCCTTTGCCTGGCCATCTATTAATATCAAAGAAAAAAAAACTTCATAAATAAAATAAATAAATATTTATAATTGCATAAGTTGATAAATAATGCTATGCAATAGCTTTACCGCGGCAGTCCCCGAGTGCCACACATATTTTATTTTTCATTATTTATTTATTAATGAGTGCACGTATTCCCAACAGTTACAACGGCTACCTGCCGGCGGGCGAGCGCGGTCGCCGGCGCAGCAAGTTCGTGCTGTACCGGCGGCCGGCGGCTAATGGCGTGCGCCGCTCCAAGCACTACGTGGTGAAGACGCCGCACAGCAGCAAGGCCATCCTCGACGCCAGCCAGCACTCCATCTCCTACACGCTCAGCCGCAGCCAGGCGGTCATCGTGGAGTACACCGAGGACCCAGACACCGACATGTTTCAGGTTAGTTTACCCTAGGCATGTTGAAAATATATCGATGTATCGATATATCGATATTTTTTGTTCGATATATCGATATTTTTTGCCGATATATTTTGATTCGATATATCGATACATCGATACAAAATAACCTATATCGAAATTCGTATCAAAAACGATATTTTTTTAATTATTAGCGGCTTACGATCTAACTAGTATCTGGATAAATTGTGACAGGATCTCTGGATCTGGATCTGGACTGGATGCTGTATTTAGTATTGTCTATTATTTGTAAATCTGTTTCGCTGGTGAATTGGTTGTGCTGATTTCCATTATATTCTGTGGAAGTGTGTGACTGTCTAGTGTTGTTTACGAAAGATGGCAGCTGAGAGGCCCTGCAATCATTTTCATCATTCGGAAATAGGGTCTATTTTTAGGGAGATAATTTTCGTTCCATTATTACTCCGCGTGTCATGTAGTGTAGCGGCAATTTGGTACTGTAATAATTCTTTCTTTAATTATAATTTGTATTGAACTAACTATTATTACTGTGCTAGGCTGACCTAAATATATTTTTGGGAAAATTGGTCCGATATATCGATATATCGATATTTTTTCCGCGATATATCGAAGCCGATATTGATATTTTTTTTAAATATCGATGTATCGATATATCGATATTTTTTTCAACTTTCGACATCCCTAGTTTACCCGCGTGATACAATGAGGGCTATCGCGTATGAATCCGCCGCTAGAGGCGCTAGTGTAGCGTGAGGTCTCCGAAATGTCAAATGTTATTGCTTGTTGGTTGACTACGCGGGCTTATTTCTAATTAAAATAATGTTGTGAATAATTGGTAACAATTCGGCTTAATTATGGCAAATATGAGTTATGTGGCAATGAATGTCAGTTATTAAAAATTTGAGCTTAGAAAAATGATTATGTTCCCATTTTTTCCGAATAAAACGGAACTGGGCGTCACTGTGGCATGGCCTATTATGTTTAGGATATGGTTCTTTTGTGTTAAAATGCGATCTAAATGTAACCTTTGATTTCATGTGGGTATTAATAAACTTTAAAAGTTACAATTTAGGACCTCACTCAACAGTGGCACCATCTGATGAGACAGAAAACGGTAGCCCTCATTACGTCGGAACGCAAACTACTGTCAAATCTTACTACATATATGTGTATATGTCGTGACCACATCGTAGATTTGTTCACTTCATGAAATGCTCGATGTGGATCACTTCATGATGTGGGCAACTTAATTTGACCAGATCATTAAATCGTCAACATTTAACGATGTTGTCATCGACATTGGCCGGATCGTATAATAAGGGTGTCCATAAAATATTTATTAAAAATCCAGAATATGTAAGAACTTGTTTATTGTCATTTAAGTCCGAATGACACAAAAAAATTTAGTCAAATTTTTGTAACAAAATAAACAAATTAAAGATATTTTTTCTAACTAAAACATCAAACATGTAAAGAAGTTACATATTGATATTTAGAAAACTAACAAATATTTAGAAATAAGAAGGTACTTTGGTACATATTACAATAGTAGGCTTAACTGTATCCCAGGGCCCAAGTGGTAATACTTCACACTAGGTTAGGTTAGTGTTATGACCATAACGCGCGAGCCGAGCGAGCAAAGCGAGCTTGCCCCGGCAGAGGCCGGCGAAGTGCCAAAAAAAACTATTAAAAGAGAACTTTTCTACAAAAGAAATTCAAGTATCACCTCTTGGGCGCAGGAAGTACAATTTTACAGTATATCTTTGTACGGCATTGATTCTCCCTCATCCGCACTTTGTACCTCAATCACAGTTTCCAAAATGATAAATAAAATTTGCCAAGTCAGCCAAGCAATATCGTATATTTGATACATGCGGTTTACGTGTTTCAGGTATGTCTCTACGAGGTAAATTTAAAGACATTGTTAACTTGGAAACATCTCTTATCTATTAGACAAGTCGTCCGTCTGTCTGTCTGTGGTGCTGTTTCAGCGGCCAAACCGTAAGAGATAGATAAAGAGAATATTTAAGTTATAAGTTAAGAATAGTCTGATAAGACTACAAACCGGATTTGAGTAACGTAGCACTTCCGGTTTTCGAGAAATCACGAATTTCAAACGAAACCACACAAAATCTCCGAAGTTCTCAATTAATTAAATACATTTTTTTTTCTTTTTAAATCAGGTTTTGGTGAACATTTGGTTCACTGGTTTGCTAGTAACTAAACTAATTTTGCAATAAAATTATAGTTTACTTAAAATCCTCTAACTAAAAACTCTCTTGCCTAACTTATTTATACAAGCGGAGACCAAAATGTAATGATGCCAATGACTTAGTTTTTGCGTATCTTAACGATCATTGTATTGTGCGAATTGTGGTTTTAAAGAGTTGTTCCTTAACGCCTAATGATTGGGAAATACCGTCATATTTTTTATAGAAATTAACACTACGTTGAAACAGTTATTTGTTATCGAGGTTAATGATTTAATATACCTACTCTCGAAGAATACCTTTTTTCAATACAATATTGAAATGTGACGTAAATATAATTTTTTGGCATTTTTTTATTACTTCGAATACAAACACGAGCGTATTGTAACCAAAAACATAACTACCAAGAACTATACTAGACAGGAACTACTTTCATTACCTCTAAAGAATATTCCACGTCATGCTATCAAATTTAATATATTATTCAGACAGCGTATAGCTTTTAGGAATCATACTTTTCAATACCTTCTAGACGTCCTTACTTTCATCATCATCATCAGCCTATTAATGTCCCCACTGCTGGGGGATGTCCTTCCCTATGGATGGAATAGGGAGATAGGGCCATGACCTACCACGCGGGCCCAATGCGGATTGGCGGGTGCTAACGACTGCAGATGCAGTCGGGACCAACGGCTTAACGTGCCTTCCGAGGCACGGAGGAACTCGAGATAGTAATTTTTGGTCACCCATCCAATGACAGACCACTGCGAAGGATTGCTTAAATTCAACGACCTAACGCGCTAACCACTTGCGCCATCCAGGTCCTCGCTTTAAAGCGACACCTAATATTTGTGTCTGTATCTTTCAAAACTTTCGTTGTTACTAAACAATATGTTTATGATAAGACCTAAAAGGAAATTGTATTATGTATAATATAATTTTTAATGAAAATAACAACAATGTATTAGATTTGTAAGATTATAAATAAATACGTGACCAGAGGCACGAGAACATCATGAATTATTCCTCAAGTTATACCAAATGTATAACGCAATATGGTTTTTCCGAGTGAGGCACGGTACGGCCCGTCAGGGCATGCTTACATGATTATAATATTATGTACTTATTGCTTCTCTCAGAAATGAACGTTTAAAATTCTTTCGTACATAAAATATTGCCGTTCCTTGAGGTCTCTATTTTATTATTGCCCATATTATCTTTGATACGGTAGAATTTGGAAAAACCAACATTTGTAACGTATATTTTTAACCAAAACATTTTCAAATTAATAAATACCAAGTTTCTTATTCGATATTATTTCTTATGTTAACGTTTTGCTATCAAGAATTGTGTGTGTGACGACGATTGAATTTGCGGGTTAAATCGTCATTTTATGTTTTACGCCAGATTGGACACGTGTATATTTCGAACGTTACAATCTTCAAAAACAGTATTTTGAGATATCGCGATTTGAAGTTTTAAAAAATCATAGAAGCGGAACTACTTGTTCTAATGTTTAAAATGATACCTTGATTTTAATGTACATTATCCTTCTTTGTGTTGAGTAAGTTAGTGTGTTAATAGTAGTTTTTATTTTAAAAGTACTTTTATGTGACTGAGTAAAAATAATACCATATAAGCAGTTCAAATGGCTCATGTTGAAATCAAAACTAGTATCATTTTAAAATAATTTCGCTGAAAATAACATATTAAATAAAATTGAACAGGCCAGATATTATTTTAAATAAAACTTCAAACTTGTATTAATCCGAACGGGCAATAGGGTATTAACTTAACCTAATACTGTTTAGAATACTCACAATCATAAATTTTGACGACATGTGCTGCTATAATTCAAAAACTATTTCGAATTAAAATACATCTTACCAGTTTATAGAGAAAAAAATGTAGTTTTCGAAACGCAAATAAAAAAAATGGTTTTGGCGTCTTAATACCCTATTGTTTGTGACGTGCGATTTATGTATCTAGTAGTGAAAAATCTGATGTATCGATACCATAATGTGTTACCGAGAAACCTTTATTTATTATTTTATTCAATTTTAAACGCAACATGAATATTGCCCGCACTGTTTTATGTGTCGGACCTCAATTGTCACTCGTGTCGTGTTCGAGTTAAATGGGTTCAACAACTCCCTGGATAGTTGCAACACCGCAGACTGTGTGGAGATTATAATGAATTAGCTCTTCATTATGAAACGTTTCCAGCTGTAATTGGTCGGGAGTCTGCTTATCAAGTTGTTTAATTAACAACATTAACAATGGAACGACGTCTTTCGTAAATACAACTATGAACATAGACGCTATGTCTGACATTTCTGAAGTTCTCGACTGTACAAAATAATTGGGGATATCCAATTTACACAATTTAATTTACGACCGAAGACATTGTCTAAGGTTACACTCCGTTAACTTTGCTGAAGTAAACTGTTAATAAATTGTTCTTACTAATATCGGATACTTCAAACTTATTAATCTCTTATCTATTAGACAAGTCCGTCCGTCCGTCCGTCCGTGGTGCTGTTTCAGCGGCCAAACCGTAAGAGATAGATAAAGAGAATGTTTAAGTTATAAGTTGAGAATAGTCTGATAAGACTACAAACCGGATGTGAGTAACGTAGCACTTCCGGTTTTCGAGAAATCACGTGATTTCTATTTCAAACGAAACCACACAAAATCTCCGAAGTTCTCAATTAATTAAATACATTTTTTTTTTGGTGTACATTTGGTTCACTGGTTTGCTAGTAAATACATATTATGCTTTTAATTTATTGC